ATGAGCAGACTACTTAAAAACTGGGGCAGGGAATCGCAATGTGACCATATTCTTTTCAGGGCATTTCTCTCTCCCATGGAAGTGTACTCACATGCACACATAATCCACAATCATGAATAAAATTAACAAGAAAAAGAGCTATATAATACACACTGAAGTATTAAAGAGTAAAGGCACATGATGTACAGTCTATTCTCAAGTTGTTCAGAAAAACTGTGTGTGTGTGTGTGTGTGTGTGTGTGTGTGTGTGTAAAGAAAGGGGACAGAGAGTAAGGGAAGCAGAATTTGGGTTAGAGCATGTAAGAGTTCTTTGTACTATTCTTGCAACCTTTCTGTATGTATGAAATTATGTCAAAGTTTCAAAAAAGCAATAAATCAAGAACAACTACCCTTATAACAAAATCAACACGTATACACATTCTTCCTAAATTACAGTATTTTAATATACCTTGTAGAAGTAAGATGAGCCTTGGTTTATCAGGTACAGGATTTATTATTATTATTATCTAGAGAAAAAATACAAATTCACATTTCAATTAACGTGAACTGAACAAGTATGTCTTTTTTTTTTTTTTTTTACATAGGATGCATACACTCACTGGAGAGACAGAGAGGGGAGGGGGGAAGTGAGAAACCATCCCCTAGAGGGACGGCCAGGCCATATCCTTTGTCCTTCATTCATCTCCTGGAATTTCGGGCACGCATTCACATGCATCCAGTGTGATTTTCAAGCCACCAGTTCCAGGACTTAAACTGCAGTCAGCCATGTGCAAACCCAGTGCCTTAACCACCATACCACCTGCTGGCCCCAAAAGTAATATTTAAATATCTTCTAGGCTAAAAATTCCTTCTTTCTTAAATAGGTTTTCATATAAAGTCAAGTCCTTATGACTTAAGGATGGTTTTACAGTCCTGAGTGATTTTAGGAAGTGCTCTTGTTTCACTGTGGTAGCTTCCAGTCCATCTTCTTGCAAGGCCAGCAAGGCGGCCTGAAAGACAAGCAATAGGAGACAATTGCTCTGTTGTTTGTTTTGTTTTTAAAACAATATATGGTAATACTTTAAAATCTGAATGTAACATCTCATTATAACTTCAGAGGACTCCAATATTCATATTACTACAAACATTAAGGTAGAAAGTTAAATAAGAGAATTTTTAAGAGAGGCTTTTCTGTGTGTGTTTGTTTTTGCTAAATGGCGCATGCACTCGCAGGTGAGACAGAGAGACAGAATGTGAGAAATCACCCCCCGGGGGGATGACCACACCGCAATCCCTTCTCCTCCTCCATTCTCCTCTTGGGATCTGGGGCATGTATGCACATTCGCCCAGCGTGAGTTTTAAGCCACTGGGTCCAGAACTCGAACCATGGTCAACTACGTGGGACTCCAGTGCCATAACCATTATGAATTCCACTAGTTCCAATAAAAGAACTTTTTAAAATTCCCTTGTTAGACTATAACTTCTACAAAATTATTCATAAAAGCATAATTCAATAGCAAAAAAGTAGAAACGCAAATGTTTAAAAATAAAGAATGGATAAATAAATGTAGAATACTCAGATAGGAGATTACGAAGTGATGGAAATGAATGAGCTACAGTTACATACAAAAACCATAGGTGAATTTCACAAACACAATCCTGAGATAAAGAAGCAAACAGAAAATATACCATCTGTATGGCTCTATTCATATAAAGTTCACAAGCAAGCATAACTAATGTCCTGTGTTGGAGGTCAGAAGTTTGGCTCCCTTTTGGGAAGAGGCTGGGAATGTATTGATGTTTTATTTCCTGACACGAACAGTGGTTATAAAAGTGTGTCCACTTTATGTTAATTTGTTGGGCTATATCCTTATGATCTGTGCATTTTTCTTTTAACATTTTTTTCCCCTTTATGTGCCTTCTGGTGAAAGAACACAATAAAATAAAAATTTGCCCAAAGCAAAAAACTGAACTGAATACAAATAAACTAGATCCAACTATCAATTTTTAAGAACTAGAGAGGACAGAGGAACATATTAAGTAACAGAGACTATGACATGCTACAGGGAAAGGGCCCAGTCTCTCAAACAAATGAACTCTAAGGAAAAAAGAGATGGAGGGAAAACTCAGGGAATAAAAGAGAGCTGCCAAGGTGTGGGTTCAAAGAAACCATAAAACATTTAACATTGACTTTGCTTTCAAAAAATATTTATTTATTTATATATTGACCTGTTGTGATTTTTCAAGACACGGAGTTCAGGATTCAAACTGTGGTCAACCATGTGGAAATCTAGCACCTTAACCACCATGCCACTTGCTGGCCCTATAACAACTTTTTTTTAAAAAAAGAATTATTGAACTTTATTTATTTTAATTTGACCAGAGAGGGACAGAGAGTGTGAGTGAAAGAGAGAGAAAGAAGGAAATGAGAAAGCAAGCTGCCAGGTCTGGGACTCAAACAGTGGTCGACCATGTGGGAGTCCAATGCCTTTAATCACCACACCATCTGCCGCCCCCTCCCCCAGAAAAACCTTTTAAAACTATTAATGAGGGGCGGCTAAGGCACTGGACATTCCCACATGGCTGACCACGGTTTGAGTCCC